TTCAATTTGCATTTTGTCAAAAGTGGAGCCAAACAATATGTTCACGGAGCTGCCGTTGTCAACGAGCATGCGTTTTAATCCGTTTCTAGCCACTACGGCCCTTACAACCAGAGCGTCGCAATGGGGATGGTGAACTCCCTCTGAATCTTCCTGGGAGAAGGTGATTGGGGCCATCTTGTCTGTTGATTTCGATTCGTCGACAATGTGGGTAATCATCGGGGGATCCTTAGCTTCTCTTGTATAATTTCTCTGGGCATTCCTGGTGCTGCCACCGACGTGGGGTCCCCCAATGATGGTATCGATTTCCCTGATGACCTGACCTTCAGCGAATTGAGCTTGGTTCCCTTGTCTGGATTGGCCTCGGTTTCTCGATTCTCTTCTGCGAGGAGATTGTTCCTGGTGACCTCTTCCTCCCCTCGTCGAGGAGGTGGATCTGCGGGCGTGCTCATTTCTACTGGAAGTGTGGGGGTTGCTTCGATCAGGGTGCCGATTGGCATCACGACACTCGCTGGTGTCATGTCCGTATAGTTGATGGAAAGTACAAAATCTTACTCCTGCCAAGGGCTTGTTTGGCCTCTTTTTCTTCTTGTTGTTGTCAATTCTTCCAGATGGTCCTGCCTCAGCGGGTGCGTTATCATATGCCAACATCGGCACTGCGTTCAATGTGGCGGAAGCTAGGGCCTGTCCGGATGTGGGAGCTATGGTATGCCCTGCTTGGGTCCATTGCTGAGTAACAAGGTGCGCTACGGGGCCTCGACCTACCTGCCTCTGTGGGGGAGGGAGTCCCTGCGCGGCACGGTTGCAATGATCAATCATTTCTTCACTAACAATTTCCACTCTCATCATCTCCACCAGCTCGTCGTATGTGGAGGGATTTTTGCTGCGCACGTCCCTCCAAAATAAAGTGTTCATGTTGAGACCACCTTTCAGGGCTGAAAGGGCTTCCCTGTCAGTGACCTGCTCGCAGTAAGTAATTTCGTCTGTAAACCTGGCGAGATAGCTTTTCAGCGTCTCTCCAGGGGCCTGCCTCATGTCTTGCAGGCGTTGAATTGGCGCCTCTCCTTCCCTGCGTGAGAGGTACTGGTTCAAAAATGCTTTCTTCAAGTCTGGCCAACTTCTGATGCTTAGGGGAGGAAGCCTGCTATACCACATCTCGGCGGCTCCGCCTAGTGTTAAATGGAAAGCTCTGCACTTTAGAGCAGGTGAGGCTCCCCTACGACTCATTTGTGTCATATACTTTGTGAGGTGCTTCTCCGGATCCCCTTTTCCTTCATGCTTGGGGATCTTAAGAGGCATGAAGTTAGTTGGTATTGGGAAGCTTCGTATTTCCCTTGAGAAAGGGAGGTTATCGTCATCGTCGTCAATCTCATAAGATCGACAGGGCCCCTCTGATCCTTCATCATCTTGAATGTCTTGGGGTGGAGGAGGCGATTCTCCCCGGCTCCCCCAATCTACTAAGTTTCTCCTCTCCCTCCTATTTCTAGGAGGAGGAGGAACGTGCTCTTCTTCGCGGTCTGACCGGACCGACCCTCTTGCGGAGCGGACCCTAGTACTAGGATCGTTCCCTATTCTGTCGAAGACGCTCACTGACCTCTGGTCTTCGTGTTCTTGAGGAAAGTTGTCCCCTAAGAGTGGTTCTGATGGATGACTCTCCTGCGCATAAGATGTCGCTTCGATGTTCCCCTCTCTTTCGAGAGGACGTTCTGTGTGCCGGCTCCTATGGCCTCGAGAGTGGGACAAAGGGATTTCCTGTACCGGATAAGATCCTTGGGGCCTCTGGTGTCCCTGAGCTTGCATGAGAAGTTCCCGCATCGCCATATTCTGAGCTGCTATGTCTCTCATACTCGCAGCTATTTGGGCCATACCTTCAGTGAGTATGGCTGTTCTTTCACCTCTTCGACGCCGGTGATGCGGTCTCTGATGAGTAACATTGTTATGGAGTACCTCTTCTTCAGAGGCCTCTCTCATGGGATTGTCTTCACGACTGTAGCTCATCCTACCTAGTAAGAATTTGGATTGTAATTCGACTTTCTTTTTCAAGAAGCCCCCTTTTCAGGGTCAGTCGCCGATTTTTCGGTGTCTTCTCCGATGGGGAACGCAAAACTTCAAATGGGGAGTGAGTTTCCCACAGACGGCGCCAAACTGTTGACCTCCAAAAATGGCTCCTCCACGTGGCCAACTTATAGCTACTCCACGTATTCCTCCCTGCGTAATGAACAAACGGTCAGGCGCACACGGCCGGGACCGACGGGGGTGGTGGCGGCCGTATACACTCCGACGGTCAAGTCAGATTTGGGTGGTCGGAACAGTGCCCAAGGGCTACACAAATCAATCAATAAAAGGGGGGGGGAGGAGGATATATAAACTTGTTATGGAATGCTATGTATTGAGAGTTTCATTATTTTTGCCTCTTGCCAAGCCTTGGGTATTTATAGGTGGTATGAACCGCGGGATGTGGGACGCGTGTATACATCTGACGGTATGAAGTGTCTGCTCATAGGCGTCAATCAGCCGCGCTTGTAGAGTGGGCGGACAGTTTGTTTCCCCCAAGTTGAATTGACATAAAGTTGATAAGTCACATCAAGTAGCCTCACGGGGACGTCAAATCAATTTAAACCTTAGGTGCAGGACAAATCTTAAATTGGCGACGGATCTTCTAACCGGGGTCCACTTGATCTCGACCTCGGAGGTGAGATGCTTCGACAGATCAGTAGCAGGAATCGACATATCACTCTGGAGAAGTTTCGGGAGGGTCGTTGTTAGGTCGGAGTAGGTGGTGAGATGGCACTTCGGTATTGAGGCGTAACAATAATACTGAATATTCTAACATGTCATTTCAATATCTAACATGTAAACAAATATCATGTGATTTAACTCTCATTCTCAAAGATTTAATTATTTGGCCAAAACAGTGTTTTGAATAGTGGCTTTTAGGTGAGTGTATGGTTAAAAAGTAGAAAAAAAGTTTTGAATATATGTACAGAATATTTTTATTGTGTGAATGTATAGTAAAAAAATGAGTATGTAGAAAAAGAATTTTCAATTAATTGTTGTCAAATAGGGGGTAAGTCAATCCAACACAATTAATAAAAGAAGTATCCGAAAATAATGAATTAAAATATGTATAAAAAATAATTATTTACATCGTTCGTCTTAGCATATAATCTAACCAAGAGAAATGGTGAAGGAATCAAAATATAAAATACAAAGTTGATATTGACATTGACATTGACACTGACACTGACACAACACGTTTATTCAATGAACAAAAGGATAGAAAAAATATCTTCATGTCTTTATCTCAATTCAAAGAAATATGAGAGTCTTCAAAGTTGGATCTTCAATAATTCCTTGAATATTCTATTTGATTTCTCCCAAAATAATCAATATTTGTGTTATTTGAATTAATCTTCAACATGTGGTCCTCCCTCATGAGTAAGAGACTTCTCCTATATATATAGGATTTCGTGTAACCTTGAAATCGTCCCAATAAAACAACAAAAATCCATCCTGAATTTCGCAGGCATTGTAAAACTTGAAAAATCAAATTTGATGTTCAAGGACTCCTACTTAAGCTTTGTGAGCGACCATGAATGATATGGAGATTGAATCTAGAATCTAGATACTTCGAGGGGTGTTACCAAATTCGTGTGACCTTAATTTGCATTAATTTGAAGCAGCATTTTTAGAGAGTGAAAGTTTTAATCTTAGATTTTTTTTTTTAGATCCCTCTTTTCAATTGTGCAAATGGATCTATTTTATAGATAATTTTTAAGGGGCTTTTTGCCATTTTTGTAAATTGACATCTAATTATTGTGTTGAAAGTCATAATTGATTATAAAATTTCAAGATTTTGTCGATGTTTGTATTTTGTAACATTTGTCAAGTCATTTGTTGTGTGTGCGAACGTGTTTATTGCACAGAAGTATTTGTTGATTGTGTCAAGATTTCACAGTAACATTTTCGTCGATATTCGAGGCTAATCCGAGCCATTGGTCCTTTTGGTGACCGAGGCTTTTAAATGTATTTTCTAGCCGTGTTAGATTTTACACATTTCTTCGACAGCTGTGGAATCTTTCACTTCTTCAACTGAACCTTGACGGCCGAGGTGCGGATATTGAAGAATACGTAGACATTCACTGTGACTTCCGGTCGTTCAAAATGAAACCAAAGCAGCTACATTGAAACACAGTTGTACAGGCCCAAAGAACTTCATTAAATAGGTCCAAAATTATTCAATTAGCCCGTCAAAATCTATTGAATTAGTCTTATTGCTGGTCCCAATTGAAAACAAATTACACAAATTTACTCCAGGTCAATTTTCCGTTATGATACTACTTTAGTTAGGCATTACATTTTATTCTGTGCAAAAGAGAACTCAATTTTTCCTGTTCGAGTGTTTCAAAAACCAAATTGAAGACGCTTTTTTCTGTTTTACTTTTTAGGCCACTGAATTCA